CAACCTGCAAAGGTTTGTAGGCCTTTAAGTCAGAACTTGCCGAACTCAGCTCACACGGGACTGCAGATTGACTGCTCTAATGCCATACGCTTGGCTGGATATGGAAAATATACCAGTAATAGGAAGATTATGGAATCTATAGGAATCAACAAAACAGCCAACACCCTGAAGAGAAGGAATGAACGTAGGAAATTAAGTAGAAACTACTTGTGGCTGCTTGATAGGAGTAGAGAGAGGGGCTCAAGAATACTGCCGAGCAAGAGGAGGAAGTTAGATCAGTCTCAAATATAGTTTTCGCTCTTACATCTCACATGTCTCATCAACATTGCGTGCGCACAACGCACGTGCAATGGAGCACTATCATATGCGGCGACACTGCAGGATCACAAAAAGTCTTTTAGGTGAAGACGCAGTTGTTCGGTCACAATTGCATCTGTTGCACACTGATTTGGCAGCCAATTAGGATTTCACCGGCATCCATTTTGCTTTTCCACAGCATGTAGAAATGGCACAGGATATCCAACCAAATTAGTAAATGTGAAATAAGTTAGGCTATAAAAAGTAGGTAGGATTGCAGCCAGCCATCTTTCGTATCTCTATGCTTGGTGAATTATCGTAAAGCATGATGTCCTTTCGGACAATGTTCGTCACATTAGGGTCGCAGGGATATGCGCCGAGGACATATTCACACAAACCTACTGTGATCTCTCCAAGGCAATCCCCCTAGAGCTTCCCGTGAGGCCAATTAATGAATCCCTTCCACTCGCCTCTACACGAAATGAAAGGTACTCCAACTTCATTAAGTGATTAATCGAAAACCACTTTTTCTTTAAGGTCACAATTACTTCGTGTCCAGCTAAAATGTGAAGATTATACAATGTTTTACATTTTATGCCCTTCTCCCCTGCTCATTTTTCAGAAAATTTCATGATTCAGGAGAATCAGCCATTTCTTCGGCCGATACTCATGACTTGGCTAGCATTTCGCATAATCCTCTTCCGCCACCAACACTCTCCACGCACACCTGGGACTGGATTGCTGTTTATCCAATAGATTTTGAGGACTTGTCCACTGGATATACAACCTACGTTTACGCACCCACTTCACCTGAACCTGAAAATTCAATGTCTCAGCTAGTTTCTTCTCTTGCGACAGGAGCAATGACGGCCAGTCTTGCTAGTTGTCATTTAGAGAATGATTTGCCGATTCATGTCGTTGGCACAGTCCCATGCATCGGCGAATCTGATGTAGCGTCTGATGACGTGATCTCATTTTTAAGTGACTCTCCTGCCGTTGTGGTTAATGCCGGTCTTCCTTTGGGTCCGACGTTTCGAGGTCGAATTGAGGCCAGCCATCTGGAAGAGTTGGCAGGAAAAACGATTCAGCTGGCCTATATGAGCAGATTGAAGAATTGCCCACAAGGTTACAGCAAGCCAGTAAAGGTAAGTCCGATTTATCATTCATGAGAGGATATATTTCATTTTGTGATTCATGCTATCTTTAATATTGGCTAGTATGAAGACCAAGATGGTGTGGCCTTTTGTATGGTCACAGACTCGTTTCGTTGTATAAAAGTTGTTTGACCTTGCTTTCGAAACTTGGTCATATTGGTAGGAAGACTTAGAGTAACGCACCTAGTCCGGAGTCCATTGTATGCAGCATCATTTTCAGAGTAGGACCCTGGACGTGGTACATTCCCAGACGCTACGCCGGCATCGTCAGTGAGTCTCGCCATTCGTAGCACCATATTACAACTCGTCAAAGAGATAAGTGAAACCCATCCTTTGACCAAACGTGGGCTAAACAGTTATGGTATCTTCCCTTCTGCCCTGCCCTATTCACATTTATTATACCCTACTATCACAATTTTTACCGTGCTTATTTTTACTGTAGTGTGGTGTGCTCCTTCGAGCGGCATTCATGAAAAACCTTCACACTCCACACTGTCGTTATCACCCATTCACCCTTGTGCTGGGAATGTTGACCAGAGTCTGTCATATTGTTACGTAGTCCTTCCCTGGGTCCTATC